CTAGCGGTACGTGCTGTTGATTAGCTCTTTTAACCCTAGTCTCTCATTCACAATTAGGGACAGTTAGCACGTGAAAATATATAACAAACAAAACTTTTCTAATACGTTGAAATAAAAACAATCAAAATTAATAATTATGACATCCACAGCGATGGATTCGAGTAACAAAACCTATTTGTCAAAATAATCCAATTAGAATAAATGAATTTCTATGCAGCAGACATAGTAGAGTTGGGGCTTCTTATGTACTGCTGTTTCCTTTGTTTTGATATCTTGTATCTGAGACTTAAATAAGGTATTTAGAAATCGAAACGTCTATCTAACTAATAAATCAAAGTAAAAACGGGTCTGTTAATAGACTGAAATAAAGTTATTGCAAAGCGAGAGATTAAGTATAAACATACTAAGCTATATATCTTGAACTTTAAATATAATATTTTAATCCTCTTAACTCCAGAGGCCGGGAATGGCCTAATTGTTAGTGTGTCCAAACTGTGAATCCGAGAATTAATTTTTCGTGATACCTGACTGCGAAATCTGGCTCCGCACTTTTGGTCCGTAGATTTGCTGTAAGAGTGAAGGTCAAATCTCAATATTCGATTAGACAAGAGAAGTACAAAAGTTGGTGATGGGTGTGGTTGGCTACCTGCTGTCTCTCTCAAGCCTGTGAATTTAAAATAAGGAGCGACAGGGTGCAGATAGCCATTGTGTACTTTTGTACGAAATCCTAAAACAAACCTACGTCTAGAAATTAGGACGGGTTACTTATCAAAAGAGAATCCCTTTTTTTATACATTTGCTCAGAACTTCTAACTAGAATGAAAACATTCTTATGTCTAACATCGGAAAAATCCATTCTGATGTTGAGAAGTGACTGCATATTATCATTAGGCGAGTCTCATTTGGTGTTAGTAATCCAAGTACTACGTACATGTTATACTTTAAATCATTTCTGAGAGTGGAAACAATATTGAAAAAAACAAACACATTTTTAGCCATAGCCAAGACTTTGGGACATCTAAATTCTGAACTGATCTGATTCTAGGAACATTTGACAAATATGAACTTTTGAAATATGACAACAAGGAAAAAAAAGATTATTAAACAAATAGAAAATGACATTCACATATAAAAACGTCACTTTCCATACTGTACTTAAATGAAATATTTTACATAATTTACACAATAAAGAAAAATACAAGTTATTCATATATGAAGCATTATTAAAAATGAACTCGATAAATATTCACAACTATAATTTTTACATCACATCAAATTTGAATAAAATGCATAGCTTGATTAATATATTTCTAACCCATCGCGGTTAATAGTCAAACCTTTTCTACCCATTAGCATAATTGTTTGTTTCTATGTAATCAAGCACAAAGCTACACAATGGGCTATCTGTGCTCTGCCCACCACGGGTTATCGAAACCCGAATTCTAGCGTTAGTAAGTCCGCAGACATACCGCTGTGCCACTTGGTGGGCCATTAGCATAAAACTTTGAAGTACGATATATGAATGAATG